CGAACGGCGAATTGTTTTTTTTTTGCCTCTGAATAGGTAGTTGGTCCTCACCACACGGACTGCTGTGCGCCGAGGAGGCCTGTAAGTCCTATGCACATGCTCTGTAAGTGTCTTACTGGTATGGCTGTGCGAATGCATGCACCACGGATGTTTTTCACCGCGGTTTCACCGCCGTTTCGACCTTCTTCTATCTATCTACTCGACGGCTGTGTATTCGTGGTGTCCAAAGTCACCGCACACGCGGGCTGTGTAAAAAGTGGATTTCAAAGAGCATCATGATGCTTCAGCTGGTTGTACTACTGACAGACAATAGGTTGCCTTGAATGAATGGAGCGCGCACTACCATTCATTTGCTGCTGCTGTGGCACTAGCCATCTCCTGCTATTTCAACAGCTACAAAAATCTATGAGCGCGGTGAAGGAAAATATGACACCACGTGACGGCGCACGACAGCCGCCCAGCCAGCCCTAGAGCTGCTGACCTACTGGTGCCATTTCAAGAGTCGGAATTTCGGAAAACATCATGCAGGAACAAAAATGATGAATTCGCACATGTGTTGCATATGGAAAATCGTTGGTGCGACAAACACTGCTGCTGCTGCTGCTGCTGCTGCTGCTGCCGCAGTTTGCGGAAGTTTGAGGAAGTTTGCGGAAGTAGGCGAAGCTTGGCAGCTCTGCATGGCCGTGAACAGCAGCAGTACTGACCAGTAGAAGGAGCGATGTCATCGAGAAAGCGGGAGAGAAACATTCGAACACATGAAATGCTACCTGTCTGTGGTGTGGGGTACGCTGGCACATAAACTCAAATCAGCTGGTGGTCTAAAAACTTCAAATAGTCTACATGCCTTGGACACATGAAGCATTTTTTGTAGCACGGCATCATCGGCGACAGCTGGCCTCATCGCTACCCCCTGGGTTATCAATCAAGGCAAGCCCCAGCTTACCAAGAAACCTCTCAGAACACACACAAAGCCAGCAAGTCAGCAGAGAGGCCTGTGCAAAACTCAAAGATCAGGATTGCTTGCAGTACATTGGTCGCCGAGTTATCTTGTGTTACACATGGTATGCATACGATTTCCAATCCCTGCTGCTCCTCACCTCTTCAAGACCCGTCCCCCGGACACCCCACCGCGAAGGGGCACTCTTCCGCGCTGCACGGATCTTGGGTTGTCCGAGCTCGAGGGCGGCTCCTGCGTGAACGGGATGAGCAATCAGCAACACAAGGGAGCGAACGTATATCCTGGTTTCCCGGAATCCACTCGCGAGCAAGTGATGACTTTCGCTCTTCCCCTCCCAGCTCCCTCCCACCAGCTGAGACCGATCGATGACTTGACTGATGCAGTTAGCTGTTCCTGTGCTGCAATGGACACGCCGATAGAAATGATCGGGCGTCCTGTGTCCCTCTCTGTCTTGCACAATTTCTTGTTTTCCCGTTTATTTCCGCATGTTCTCGGTGTGTGCCGTAGTCGCCAACAGCACCGGCTTTTAGCTATTATAGCCAGATGTAGTGTATCATGGTTGCTGTGGTGCGTACCCCCCCCTCTCGCCCGAAAATATGAAAAAAGAAAAAGAAGGTGCAGGGGTAGCGCGGTCGGTCTGTTCAAACTCATTGGTTTGTTATCAATCAGCTGTAATGATGTGCACAACATTCGTTGGCCGTCGTCGTTTTACCACAGCAGTGTACTGCTGTAGACTACTGCTCTCGTTCGGCAAGATACCTCCACACACATAGCACCTGCTTGATGGGCGGATATAGATAGATTACAGTTGCGATCTCTGCTCAGCCCCAGAACCTATAGACTACTGCTGCTGTAATCGCATGCCACACGCACGAGCAGGCTTGGACAGCAAAGAATTAGTCTATTGCTCACAACATTAGTCTACAGAGCGTCCTATGCACACATTCATCGAATGAACTAGACCCCAAGGGATACACACACATCAGACACATCCGTGGAGTTGGTGTCCAACATTGCTTCATCCCTTCATCCCCCTCTGTACCGAAAATACACAAACAAACCAACGAGCATGTATGTGTGAATAATTTCCTTTCGATCGACTCGGTCGATCAAAATAGGTACGGTATAGGTCTTCTTAACCGTTCGTTATGCTGCTTGGATTTCACCTCCGGCTGGTCAAAGAAGGCAGAAGCACCCCACAGATCAACGCACGGGGGGGAACATCATCAATAGGTAGGCCCGCGAGAGCAGCTCCGTGACACGCAAGTGTAGGCGGATGTAAACGTACGGGGGGAACATCAATGGGTAGGCCCGCGAGAGCAGTTCCGCGACAGCAAGTGTATGCGGATGTAAACGGCCGATGCATACACATGCATACCATCATGATACTTGTTTTTCTTCGCATTAGACTAAACTCGTGTCAGTTGCTAATCCCAAAATCTAGCAACGATTCGGTCCGTGGTCACAAAAATGCTAGAGCCATCAGAAGATCTAAAGAACACACACACTATTAGCAAGAAAAGGGTACACAAGCCCGAGGTGCAATCCCTGCAGCAGCACGTTCGCGTGCTCACAACTGAACTACACGCCCACACACTACAATTCGACTACAGCAGCAGCATTACCCCCCTTGTCCCCCATTTCACCAAAATGAATGTTTGTCGACCACAGCGTACTGCTGTCTGAAGTGCCGTCTGTACATTAATAACACCATGGTGCATGGTACACAAGCTCGGGGCATGCAGCTGCTGTCTGAAGTGCTGTCAGAATGAGTCCGTGGACATTCAATAAAGAACACCCAACCAAAGCCATCATACTGCTGTCTGGCCGTTCACACCCGCAGCGGACCTCTAACTTTGTAAACATGGAGACCGCGATCGATGAAGAAGCCTGACGTGACAACATGTGACGTCACGAAAACGTGCCCCCTTTTTTCCAAACGGTAGTGATATCGATGTGGGTCGAACACTCAACACTGATTAGACTATAGATAGATGTAGTTCGTATGAAATGGCAGCAGCCGTTTTCCGTTGTCGTTGCCTTGTTTTTCGTTGCGGGCATGCACATTCGGTGGGAAGTCGGAAGGTGTTTCGTGAGTTAGACTAGTTGGGAAAGAGTTTACTGTAGGAAAAAAAGTACATGCTTCAATATCAACCGCTGCGTCCCTTCCTTAGGCTATTTTATGTTTGCTTTTCTGTGCTAACCTACCTGGTGCGTGTTGCCTTTAAGTGATCAACTGCAATGCATGCAACGCGCGTAGTGTACAACTCTTCCGAGGGCATTGTCAGAGAGGGACAAAAAATTGACGCGAGCAACATCACGTGCGTTGTTCCCAGCAGTCTCTCTCCCCTGGAAGAGATACATCACCACGTCCTCCTGGACCCTCACTATGTAATTGTCCCGCACTTACTCTCGGAGAAGTTCTCTGGCCACCCCTCTGGAGGTTATGTTTGTAATAATTCACGGCGGGGGAAGCATTACCCAATCCCCAAAGGATGTTTACCTTCTTTCCTCACAGAGGTGAACCGTTTTACCATCCGTCCCTCTGGAGGGTGATCACAATCCACGGCGGGGAGAAACATTACCCAATCCCCCAGAGAATTTTCCCTTCCCTTCCTCTCTAGTATACCCGACCAAAAAACACCCTCGGGAGCTTTGATCGACGAATATCCTCGAGGCTTGGCGGTCTGAATTTCCTCTGGAGTTTCCCGGACTATATCCTCGAGAGGGTTGGCTGGCAAGTATCCTTCAGGGTTTGCGGCCCTTCCTCCAGAGCATTCAAAATAGTCATGCTCCAGAGCTTGGGATCATCATTGTTTCCTCTAGGGGGGGTTACGTTTCGACCTACTCAGAGGATCCGCTTTCTTGGGCAATCCTCTAGAGGATTGATTGCGGTCTAAGCTATCCTCTTGAGGATTTTGCTCCTAGCCATTTGTCTACGTGTGATACTCAAAAGCGAAATATGCACAGCCTATTCTCAAGCTTGACGCCGATGGTGATGAGAGACTTCAGTCGACCCAAAGTTCGTGTTTTTGTTGTATGCGGGTACATTATACTCTAGAAGTCCACACAACCAGCCAGCCAGCGTCCGCGGAATATCCAAGGCATGGCTTACAAAGCTATACACACGAACGTACGGCCGTGCTATCCTACACATCATGCTACGGTACGTGTGGCAAGCGCATGTGTGTGTTCTGCGAGGGAAGAAAGAGCTTGTAGAACCCGTTTGACTTCCGCGACGGTGACGCTACTACTCCTCCGTCTCCGCTCCCCAGGATCCGAGATCGAGATGAAATAACGTATGCATAAGCGTGCTGTTTAAATAGTTAGCATCGACCACGCTAACCGGCTGACCAATAAAACGTAAGCGGCTGTGTGTGTGTTTCCGCAAGGGAATACATAGCTTCTAGCATCCCTCTTTGGCGTCTGCGACGGCCTTGCTACATCTTAAAAGGATCCGAGACCGAGATGGATCCCGCCGGTGTACGGGGAATCCTTGGCCTACTTTGCATTTCGTCGGGGAGACCTGGCCGCCGCCTATCGTACACCTGCATGTTGTTGTTGGTCAGACGTGATAATCTATGAGTGAGTTGCTCTGGTCTTAACCAAGTATATCCTTCGCTACATGTGCTTAGCGAGCTCGCGAGAATAAAGCATGGTGCACACAGTGCCAATAAGTTCCAAACGACAGAAAAAAGGCCGGTACTTGATATCATGCATGCATGCATGTACTTCGGAACGTATCAGCTGTACTTCTACAAGGGGGGGTGCTATTGAAGCGCTTCATGGACTCACCTTTTCCTCCCCGCGAATGAGCGTCGCCGTGCCCGCTTCGGGCGTCGACAATCTCGGTGTGTCATTGTCGGCCCCTTTCGATTCTCCGGCTCCAGGGCACCTGGTAGCACGGGTTTAATGTTGATATGCGCGTTTCGGCATGCAAACATGCATAGAAACGACGAAACAAAAAAAATCGACAATTCAATAGCTAGGTGTCCATCCTGGCAGCATGTTCGTACAACACGATTCTTCTGAGTTGAATTCCTCACCATGCGGGAGGTTTCGTCCTAATCCCGCCGCAAACGAGCTCCTCCTCTTCCCCTCCCCACGTCGCGCCGCCCGAAGAGCAGGCGATGGCTTCCTCTTTCGCCTCCGCCGTAGAGAGCCGGTAGCGCTCCCGAAGGAGTTTCTCTCCACAAGGTGCATTCTGATGATGACGACGTGACAAGACAAGCTAGCGTGAACCGACGGATAAGACTCAAATCTGTATTTCCTCGATGTCTCCTATGCGAATGGCAGCATCTAAACCGACCCAATATGTACGCTGATGAAGAACAGGAGGTGAACTTAGTGCTACCAGTAAGTGTGACACTTCTCACACAAGTGCAAAGGCTGGAGGACGCCGCGCTGGACTCATCGTGTTCTACCTTGTTGTGTGTAGTCACTCACGCAGACTCCGCTACAAACACACAAGCGTCTCAAAGCAAAGCACCAGTCGCTGACCTCGTTATCCCTTGGACTCATAGCGCCAACTATGCAGCACCGATTTCCTACCGAACAGTAATTTAGGTTGACGTCGGTCAGGGCCGTGTCTCTCAACGGTTTCTCCTCACATTGGTGGCTTGCCCCTCGCGGTAGGCCACCCTTTGGAGTTCAAGTTTCAGAATGTCGGATCAACCATCATGCCTAGTCCATACGTACGTATAGTCAACAACGATTCGGTTGGCGTACGCACAGCGCATGAAATCTTGAAATTTCTTCTCTCGAATCAAGTTTGTTCGGCCTGTTTGACGCCGGTGAAAAATAGCTGGTCACGTATCACTGGTGGTCTGCTCTCTCTTACCGTGACCTGCACGTAGTGGGACACGACGGGGGCCTCTCCTGACTCTTCGTCGGATAGGAAGTCGGAGTCCCCCGCATCCTCTTGCCCTCCACCTGCTTCAACACAAGAGTCTATTATTACGCGTCGGTCAGTCAATAAGTACGTTGCCCCGCCTGTCGATTCTCAACGGTATCTATGCATAGATGCCACAGCTCGTGGTGGTGCGGTGGCCATCTGATGCCTGTGCTCTCGTCGAATCAATCATGGAACGTCTGCCGTCCGCCGTATGTCACAATTATTGTCTCGACGTCGACGTCTGGTGCTCGACCTTTTCCCTCTCTATCCTCACCGCCCGGCTCAGGAAACTGGCGACGACCATTTTCTCCTTCTTCCGAGTCGGGGTCAAGCGTGTCACCCATCAGGTCGAGCAGCGACTTCCGTGGGAATTCACGAAGATGAGGGAAACGGGGGCGTTTGCGGTTGAAAATGTTTCAATTCTAGAGCGGCGTGGCGACGCGGTCTCGTAACTAGGGTCTACCTGCCAGAAACAACGAGCAGCACTTTTGTACCAGTGACTTCTGCATGGATACCGTTTCTGATTCTTGTGTACGTTGCGACGACCTTGTGTATCGAGTGGTCTTTTATCTTTGTCCATCGCTTTCGGAGGGCTTTCAGGCAGGCCTTTCAACTGCGAAACCATCTACCAAGCTCCTTCTCACACGGCCCATAAAATCCCTCCGCCTCCTACGGTGTCGATAACTTGTTCGCGTTTCACCTGTATGTTGTGCTCGAAGGCGGAATCACTATTGTCGCTCCCTTCGCACGATCCAAGGTTTTGCAAGAGAGCGTCCATGCCCATTTCAAGGGCTCTCTCCCTCGCCTCGCGGGCCCCTAGAAGCAGCTTGAGGCCGCGGACCGCACTCGCTCTCACTAAGATAAACATTTTGAGGGTTTGTCGACGAAGAAAATAAACAGGATATCGGGAAAGAGCAGTTCGGATGAAGGTGGTACATGTACCATTCGCCGGAATTCAGACTGGAGCAGGTTTGCCTGCAAGGCTGCCATATCGGGAAGATCCTGTAGTTCTGCTACGTAGTCGATTACACCTCGCGCGAGATCCTTCTGCCGCACGGACTCAACCTCCGGGCAGACAAGCCAACATCGATCTGACTCCAACTCCAACAAAGAGTTTCAGTTGGATTTTTCGGCTGCGGGGCGTGGGTGGTGGGGGCGCGAATTCCTCCTGAATCACCTTGGGCGTCGTCGTGCTCGAGTAAGTTCCCGAAAGACCTAAGCAAATCGGGACTTGCCGCCAACGCCGCAGTCCTTCCCGAAACCCTCCCAGAGACATTCCCGAGGATGTCAGTCACGCGCAGCACGAACAGGGGACAGGGGTGTCGAGTCCCCGCTCCTTGAAAGGAGCACGACTCCAGCATCTGCGGATGGATACAGGCAGGTACACGAAAGCGGTAATGGAACACCCAATTATGCATCGGTAAACAAGGAATCGGGCTCCTTGCTGCACCAATGTGCAGAAGCTGTTGTGGGACAGGCCCTCTACGGCACAGACGCAGGGCCGAGCAAAAGAGGACAGAAAGAGAGAACGACACGGGAGCAATCATTGAGGTAAATCGCAACGGAAATCGCTACAAGCCAATGGGAATAGACCAGGGCTTGCATCGTTGCACATCATTGCCGCCCGGGTAGCCGCGCTGACGACTCTTCCCTGCCGCACAGCTACCTTTCTTTCACCTTTGCGGCCCAATCGACGAAGCTCGAGGAGGCGATGGCCTCCTGCGCGGACCGTCGCCTGGACAGCCGCTCCAAGACTCCGAGCAGTCGTTTGGCTAGGCTCGTTTTCTGGTACTTCTCTCCACTCAGCAATTCAACCAGAGTTTCGATCGTCTCCTCACACCTCTGAAGGTATGAGCAAGAGGGTCCTTTTCAGAATCTTACAGGGGGCCGCACCCCCGCAGCTTTTCGTCAACGGCGTGTGGCCACATTTGAGATGTCCGCTTTCCGTACCATCTCCCGACCCCGGCCGGTACTCTTGGCCCTACCGTTTACCTAAAGACGTTGCAGCGAAGGAGCCAAAGTAACAACTGAACAACTTGCTTACACTGCTGTGTTCATCATGTCGAACTTGGGGGGAATACATGTTGAAGGCGACCCTCATCTGGCTCACTATGTGGCAGCAAGGTCTTGCTCAAAGGAAGTCGCATCAACAAACACGGGAGGGGGATTTCAAGTTCTTCTCGTGGTCTTGCGGCTCTCTGAAAAACAACAAGGAGTGCGCTGATTGCGCATGGAGATAGATGGCCGCGCGACAAGTCTGAATATGACAGTTCCTCGTTCCTCACCTCGCCCAACATATAGGAACGAGCTTTGCTCATGGAAACGAGCGCACTCAGCAACCTGACCGTGTAGTCGGCCACCAGTCGTCCGGGGTCCCCGCCGAACTCTTCCCACCTCAGGTTTTCTTCCTTTGGTCCCAACGACACCCGCTTCGCGCTGTCTGTTGTGGCAGTGATGGCGAGCGAAGAAATAGGCCGTGCAATCCGTTAGAATTGTCCATAGAAAACGTGAATGTGTTCGGGACACCCCAATCAAACTCAAAGCAGACTTTCTCCTTTCTACATGAAATGCGCAACTTTCTCATTCGAAGTTTTGTATTTGCCAGGCAGCATGTCGCAGTCCTCGAAACAGGTTCCTTCCACCGCTTGGAGTTTGCGTGAATTCTTCCGATTCATTCACAGTGTCCTTTTCCCCTCGCACTGCACCCCCCTTCTTTCCCGTGGACGTTGCGCCGCTTCTCGTTGAGTTGTACCGAAAACGCCATGGTTCGGGCCGAAAACGGATTGCCATTTGTGTACTGTTTTTGTCGGGAACTTTGACACCATTTGAGCCTGTTCCACCATTGAGAACGCATGGCCTAGAAATGTTGATGATAACGTTCACGTGTGAAGCTTGATTGTGTCTGATGTTGTTTCCTGCAGACACTCGGTACGTATTTCCAACTTGTATCACTTGACATTCGAACCTGGGTAAATTTCTTCCGAAGGTGTTCTTGACTATCGGGCACAATCCGAGACTGAACAGCATCGTTCTGAGCGGAAGCTATCCTCATTTCCCCCATCTCATCGCCAAGCATCTATTTGTTCCCTGTCCAACACGTCCATTGCCGAGACCCTGACTAACGTCAAGATGCTTTCTTCTTTTTTTCCTTGCCCATGGGCTGACTGCCCCTTTTCCGAGGTGCGTTCGAGGGTGAGGAACGCAATTCTCTGGCAGTGCCTCCCCCTTCTGCTAGCCACCTGGCCGCCCAAAAGCTTGCCTTCCGTGTTTTCTGCCTCCTCCCGCGCTTGAGCTGATTCGCTTATGTGCTTCCGTTCGTGTGACGGCAGTTGCTTGGCTTCGTGGCTCTCGGCGGACGTCAGGGATGGCGGCGACGGGCGAACTCCAAGACGAAGAAGAACCCCGAGGAGTGTGGAGATGCCTCTACCTCCGCCGCCTGCCCGCGAGCGAAACCAGTCCAACACGACCATAGTGCAGCCGTTGAGCGTTTGGCAACCGAACAATGTGTGCATGTATTATTTTTTATCCTAGACGCACGCCTCAGTATCCGTGAGAATAGGCAAGGGTTCTCTAATCTGTCTGACACTAGCACACCTTGATCCCCGCTTCGTAACTACACAGACTCCGTTCCTTTCGTCGAAACCTCAATGAGTGTGGCGTCGCAAGCATGAAGAGAGTACAGTAGACACAGCACACAGCGCTTCCACCCATGTTCCTCCTCTGTAAAGTTTGATAGGCTCGCACCCACCTACTTCAAAGTGACGTGCCTGTCTGTTTCAAGTGCTGCACTTCCTCCGCATCTGGACGGTATGCCTGCTGCTTCCCCTACCTTTGACGCCCACTTCGGTCGAGCGCAAGTCGAAGATGTCGTTTCGGATGATGTGATACAGTACCCCACGTCGACTCTTTCCGGGCGGAGCGCGAGAGAAACGCCAACGAACGGTCTGCCGAGGTCCGAGCGAGTACAGAGGGGGGAACAATCGTTCTCACATGCTATGTTCAGTTTGTCTCGCAGCCTTCGCTGACAGTGTTTGTGGTCATCGCTGATGAGCATGATGTGGCAGCTTTATCGCCAACAAGGTTGTCTAGCGTGTACCGGAACGCGGGCAAGGGTCACGAGGAGGCGTCAAAACGCGCAACATGCCCGAGCGCGTGGCACCAGAGGGTGCCTGACATCGACACTATGTGTTTTTCCAGCCATACCTTTCAAGCGTCCTGGTGTTGACGTTGGCATTGCCGGTAGAAGTTTCAGTTCGTTTTTTGAGAGCTCGTCCTTACCTGTAAAACCAAAGCTGCGTTGATGGCGGCCGTGGCGGCATCCTTGTTGACACTGCCTGCAGATGACACCCCTGGATTACGACGTAGGTCGACCTTCCCCTCGGAAACCTCCTCGGCCAGTCTCCTGCAACACGCACACGTTCGTGCGTTGAAAAGGACGAGGGCATGCTTGCGCTGCTGTCGGTATGCCGGAGAGAGGCCACAAATGTCGAGCGTCCTACAAATACATGTCCAGCAGTGCTGCCATCAGCATAATCGTCGTCAGTGTCATGCCGACTCATTCCTCTCTGCATCTATTGGGAGGATCCTCGCCAAGCCTCGTGAGCTACGCGTCTCGCACACAGGCCAAGAGGACACAAGTAGTCCCCTCGGCCTCCGCTCCGTACCTTAGGTCGCGCTTGACAGCGCCGTAGTCAACGCGCCCCAAGATAGCCCTGTCAGAGTCGGACCTTAGTAGCGGCTGGCGCTGCCGTTGCTGCTGGACCCCCCCTGGTGCTTCAGGACTTCCCCGGACGGAGCCGCCACTGACTTGTCCACAACCAACACCGCTGCCAATCTTGTTCTTGCTTGATTCCCGCTCGCTCTGGTGTTTTTGACCAACAACTTCGTATGGTCTATCGTACGAGGGCCTTCCGACCACTGCGTTGCTGTGCGAGGGCGCTAGTTTGCTCTCACCCGCCATCCGTGGTGGGCACCCCCCGTTGCCGCTGTCGTTGAGGGTCCTTGATTTTGGTACCCCGGGCGCATCGGAGAAAGTGCTGCCAGTGGTGCTGAAATCGTCACATGACGGGAAGCGGGGGCCGCGTTCGTTGTCGGCGGCGTGTGTGGCACCCTTGGTGAGAACCGAGAAAATCGCAACGTTCAAAGCGCGACCGAGAGGAAGGGGGGGGGGGGGNTGCATGCCGTAGTCGTTAGACCATTGACCTCGCATCCCTACAAAGCCGGGACGGAGCACGCCGGGTTCTCACCGGACCAGGCTCTTACATCACCAAGCGCGAAGCGCCGTGAGATATTCGGCGAGTCGCATGAAGGGTGCGCTGCATCCTACTAAGGGTTTTCGGCATCTTGTGCTTACTTCCTTGCGTACGGATGACAGCTGCGTATGACTTAGTTTATTTTCTGATGCCTTCACTTCCAGAGACAGTTATAAGCACTGTGTAACTGCCTCGAGGGTGCTTGACCATTTTAACACCACGTGGTGTGATCATCCCCCTTGCGCGGAGTGAGGGTTCTCCACCCCGCACAACATGATCTACTCGACCACCATTATGGTTACCGCCAAAAAAAAAAACGGAGGAAAAAAAAAACGGTAACCTGATTGCCGAGTTCACGAAGTGAATTGGCTTGTTTTACAACGTCGTTGCCAAGCGACGGACGGAAAAATAATAGGAACTTAGGAGGTCAGGTGCCATGCGTTAGATGCCCATCTGTACCAATAATAATGTAACAGAGGGGAAGACATGGACTTTCGGACAAGGATACCATTACCTTTCTTGTTGAGTCACCCAGTATATCTGTCGGCTGCTTCTGATCTTAGTGCAACGGCCAACGTTTTGTATCTTGTTGGCAGACCTTACCTCAACCGGGCGAAGTAGGAGCCTCACGAGCAGCGGGTCCGAGCGGCGCCAGAGGTTGACCGCGTCCATCAAATTCTCGATTTTCGTTTTGAGACTAGCCTGCGCGCTCCGACAGGCGGTCAGCGAGGAGCGGGAGCGAAATTATGAGGCAAGCGTGAGACAGCACACTTTGGGTGTGAGGGTAGAGGTAAAGCTGCCGCAGTGTGGGTCGACGCCCCACAGCTCGCGTTTCGTGAGCTTTTATGCTAAAGATGGCAGGCACTATGGGGAAGCTCGTCAACTACGCAGATGGATGTCCTCGCGCGAGTGCATGAGGCGATGATAAAAACTGAAGCTGGATATCCGTCAAACGACCGCACTTCGTGGTAAGCATGAAAAAGCTGCGATTTCATTGACCGCTCTTAAATGATACGTGTCCATGGTAACGTTCTCGCTGTCGGTAGCGCGATAGTCTAGCACTAACGAAGTTCCCCGCCTTACGCACGACATTTCGTGCACCTCACAACCTGTCATTCCTTCTCCCGGAGTAGAACACTACGCAATAATCGGCAGCATTGCCAACCCCTTATAACCCTATCCTTGCGTTGCATTATTTGGTTAGCCTAGAGGTAGTAGCTCTCTCTGCTCGTCGTGCTTGGCAGGATATCTGTCTCACCACGCCTCACGACCACCATCGTTTCTATCTATCCTGTGGTTTGGCAGGGTGGCACCAGGGACTATTTTCCGTTGCTCACCGCCCAAGTTTCTTCGAACAGAGCCTCGAACGACGGGTGAACGGACGGGTCGGGCACGTGGGGAAGGGCGTAGTAGCCCGACAAGTCGGGCACACGAGGAACGTCTTGCGCGCGGTCGAGGTATCTCCTGAACGATGACATGGACTGAGAATCCAGCCCAAACATGGAGCAATAGGTGGCCGCGTTGAAACAAAACAGACTGAACATCCGGGGGCCACGGTGCTGTAAGTCGTAAGTTTACACCGTTGAAAACCCCAAGCCAGGCGTAATGGTCCCGCAATCTCTCGAGTAGAAGCCCCTGCGCGAAGGTTCCTTCTCTCTCAGCAAAAAGTGCGTTGGGGGTGGTGGTGCGCTAGAATATACCATGTTGCTAGTTCTCCCCCAGAGCGTTGTCAACCGAGAACAATCACTCTGATGAAAACGTCAACCTTCTTCCCCCGTGTTGTTTGCGGTGGAGAGGAAGGGGCAGCAGGAAGACAGCAGGAAGACATGGGTTTGTTGATCTTGGACAGTACATCGGGATCTCTTCCTTTTACATGCCATAATGGTAAAATCAGTTGTGCGTCGCTTTTGAATACGACAGGTTGTGTTTTTGCCATGGACTTTTCAAACTTCCTCTGGTGCCCACAACGCAGGTTTGCATAGACTCTGACCGGGTGTCAGTCACTCTTCTTCCGCACGCGACACATCTTGGCCTCTCGGTATCGCTATTTTTCTTCACAAACGTTCAGGGTTTTACACAGCGAACAAGTGGCTCCTTGTGATGGCGCTTGCAGGTCAAGAACACCATCACCTTCGCACAGGCCACGCTTGCCTCCCTCGGCCCCGCCGCTTTCGCCAGAGCGGTGGCTCGAAACGGCAACACCGCACAGTGCACGCAGGCCAAAAACTCCACCACTCGGACTTCTCGCGCCAGGGAGGATGGCGTCCCGCGTCGCAAAGTCTTTGGAATGAACGCCTGGTTTTCAGTTCAAAGGTTTCGTTCGGGAGACGGGGACAGACTTGAAAGAGAAATCAATTGTATTGGTGCAGATTGGTACAGAATTTAGCAACAAAATATGTTTGGCTGGTGTATGCTACGGGATAGCTACGGAATCACGGCGTGAACGATTGCTGGGTCTGCTCTCACCGCCCAAGCCGAGAGGAAGGCGGACATGTCGCCATCGTCGAACGCTTTGAATAAAGCAACACTGCCGGTGGAAGTCGTTTGGTGACCGCGATCACGGCCGTCGTCGCCACACAAGCTCCTTCTTCGCCCCCCCTCAAAGCCTTCTAGCGTCTCGTCAGACTTCCCAAGCCGGTCTCTTTTCAGGTCAAAGGTGGCAAACGTTTGTCAAAGTTTCGACTTATGGTCACCACTTCAGAGGACGCTCCCCTCGGACTAGACTCAACGAGGTGCACCCGGAATTATTTACAGTGACAACTTCATATTTGGCGCCGGCCGTAGCCAAAGGCCCGAACAGTCAGATTATCTAGGTTGGCAAGCCGTTCACGATCCACTGCTGTACACGCCGTCAACGTCCCAATCCCCCAAATTGGGGGTCGTCCAAGGCAGCTAGTGATGTGAGCTACTGCTGGAGACCACCACATGAGGGGAGGCTGTGACGCGTGGATAACAGTGATGAATCGTGAAGGTTATGGACCCTTGATTTGAGGACTTTCGGGTCGCACCTGCAGTTTTCGACCACACGGCCCCAGCAACATGTAGGTCTGGGCGTGCCAACGCGCGTGCCACTGCTCCATGATGCTCACTACTAAAGTAGTCACTCAGGTCGGGACTCCGCACACCGGAAGGTCGTTTTCATTTTCTGCCCTGGTACAACATTGGAGTTAAGACTACAGAAACTGAAGCTGCCATGCTACATGCATGTACTGCTGTGGTGCTGTTGTGATATTAGCGCGGTTGGTACTTCGTGACGTGTACAACAAAGCGGGTATTTTTGAAGAACCTTACGCATATGCATCTGCTGTGCAACTTTTTTTTTTTCATCTCACAGAAAACGTGTTGGCGTCAGGAGCACATGAGTGATGCCCGAATGTTGCGGAACCCCTATTTGGATGCGGGAACCATGTGCATCCGATGACCAACGTAAAGTTGGGAACAGCCCGCCCCATGCTCTCCCGTAGCTGATATCCTGTCGTCAGTAGCATACCTTAGGAGTGTGCGATGCCGTATCTCTGATCGAAAGCACTCGAGGGTGTTAGCGAAGCGTCGGCGCTCCAAGTACTCTGCGACAGCCTCATCGATGTCCTCAAAGCTCTGAATCATCGTGTTTGTTCCGTAGTTTGTGTATATTGCTTTTTTCAGATTCGGCTGCCCTCGTTGCTGCGAGTATCCTCGGCCATGCTACCCTTACCTGAGCGCAAGATGTTCTACTGGGCGTAGTAGCGAGTACCGGCTAGAGGGTAATACACAATCAAGCAGTCATGTCCTGCTGTCCATGCACAGCAGCGAGCGTGTGCTCATAGCTCATAGCGCTGAAGTTCGGTTGATTCCACCGCATTTTGATTGCGCCGCATATTTGTCGAATCGGCACTACCCGAGGGTTCTCCTCGCGGTAGTTACGCATTATGTAATAATGATGATACACGGAGTACATATCACACGCCACGCATACGCCCTGCTATAATTCCTTCACGCAGAGCTGGAAAAGTATATCTGCTCTTTGGGGTTCTCAGACCCTCCACACTGGTACCTTTCATCCGGCGATGGATTGCTCGGCCAACGACGATGGACACGGCCGGCTCCGATCGCAGACCTACCCCTTTCAGCCTTCCGTACTTTTGACAGAAAACAATCTCCCATCAGATCGGGATGCCTGGCTCGGCAACTCGATACAAGGGCGCGGTGACTCTTCCCCGTTGAGGCGGACTGGCCGCGATACAGGAGTCTTGTCGCCGCTCAAGAAGCTTGACTTCGGCTTTGGGAGCGGTGTGTTCCTCCAGAAGAAACGGTCTCACGGTGGCAATGGGGAAGGGCCGAGAAGCAGTGAAAGTTTGTCGAGGATGAAGATTGGAAGAAGTTCCCCGACACCGACCTCCTGTGAGAGCGGCAGCTCCACGTCTCGCAGCGGTTCCCGCGTGCCCCGGCGACGAAATCATCACCACCGTAAGGACGCCTGGAGAGACGAATCCATCCCCCCGCCAACGACTAGACAGCAGCGACTTGTCACGTCCATGTTCGCGCTAGTTGTAGTATTAGGTTCGATTCAGATCGTGGCGCTCATCGTCCATCCGCCACGAGGAAGTTTCACAGTAGATGGCCTCAGCGGCTTTACCGGCAGGAGAAGCACTGACGACAACCGTGTCCGACGGCGCGTATCTGGCGGAGTCCGAGATGCGTTTACGGATACACCGAGTATTGCCAGTGGCGGTGGCGGCGCAGTGCCGTCTGGTAGCTTGCGGGGTGGCCCGTTGAACAACAACGGGGTGCCACAATACAACGACCAAGGCTTGTCCTTGTCAAATCCTCGCGCATTCGAGATGGTGGCCGCCGATATGGGTCACCTCAAGGACACGGTGAGTGAACCACATGTGTCCCAAACTACACTGCTGTCCCTTTGACATCCGTTGCCGAACAATATGCAATAGGCTGTGCAAATGTATGTGGTACGTCGACTCTACATCCCGTCGGTACTGTATCGTGTAGAGTCAAGATAGACCATGGCCCAGAACGTCCTTTTAAACTCGCCCCTCGTATAGTTTTTGGTGCGCTCGTAGAACACCTATCTTACAGTAAAATCTAAGGCACACATGACAAACAAGAGGGCCACGACCACCAATTCAACACCACCACCCGTTCAACACGTTTTTTTGAGTCGGGGGCTGGGGGCTGCAGGAAATGACATAAGAAGAATCTTTCGCAATTGTTCTTTTCACAAAACAACCTTGAAGAGCCACTGACTTCTGCCATACGTACAGCATTCCCAGCATTACCTCCTGAAGACTGTGAAGCCGTGATTAACTCTGTCCTCAAGACCCCAGACACTGGCTAAGGGACTACTCATCGAGAGTTCGACCAAACTGTGCCTTGTCGATGGCCACACAGTCGCTTTCGCATTGGAAGGCTCCTAAAGCCTTTATGTAGGGTGGAACTGGTTCTCCAGCGGGAGGTTTCCAGAATACTCGTTCGAGAGGGATGGAATAGTTTTTAGAATTTCGAATAAGAAACAACGAAGTACAAGAAACTAATACTTCCAAATTGTTCTCCTGGAATTCTTACCTGCACTGTTCCGTCCCGGATGAAGAACTCCGAACGTTGTGCACGTTGTCCGAGTCATTTGAAGTATTGTAGCCTGGCAACAACATGAAATGACGAAGAATTGAACAAACTGCTGGATGCACATGAGAAGTCACGGGGATAAATCCTTTCGGTGTTGCAAATTTTTCAAATGTAACAAACGGCACAATATGCCGCATTCACGAGTTCTCGGGCCCTGTAATCAAACATCACACACAACAACATATTCGCCTGATTGAGAGCGAAGTATCTGATTGAGAGCGAGAGCCAAAAAAATTGAAATTTCGGGTCCAGACGCCTCTTGCCATTTCTTGGCAAGTAGGGGACGGGCTATTCCAAGAAGCGGTGCAAATTGAAGGTCTCATCAGCAGCTTCGCGAGCATATGCGTGTCATCGTCATCGGATGCTGCAGCGAGGAGCTAGACAAGTTGCTAGATTTGCCCAGATTGGCTATTTCTGCTCAAACTGTTTCAGGGCGGTATCGCGTCGGGCGGTGGGCTCTGCTGTAGCTTCTGCTCCCCGCTGTAGCTCCACAACGAGAGACTCCCACAGGATGACCAGGGTAGCGGCTTGAAGCTACGGGCTAGCCCTTCAATTCAAGCTACACAGCAAGCTCCACCTCTCAGTGGTAGTCCGGCTACAGCGTATCGCGCAATCTCGCTCTCAATCAGATGCTACGCTCTCAATCAGGCGAATATATTGTTACACTCCATCCGACGTTCTGTTTTGCTTTTCGAGAATGTCGCTGAAGTTGGGGTATCCCTAGAACCGGCCGCAAAAGACTGTAGTGCGATGTAAGCGCACTGAGAAGAAACGAGACTCGCACTAAGCTAAAAAAGATGCCATGGAGCACACTGTTATCGTCGTAGATTGAGCAAAACGATTGTCCTTACCTTTTCGCGGTCATGGAGCGAAGGAGGATATGGTTTCTTCCTCCGGCTTCTCGTGAAGGCCAATGATGCATACTGCTGGAACTTTGTGAAATGACTGTGGCTGCCTAAGCGATCGATCCACATAGCATCGCGGGCGTTGTTCATGGCACACCAGTTTGCTCCAACGAGCAGTATATCGCGCGCCTACACGCCCCCTGCACGTTCTGAACGAGAGTGCCACAATGATTACGCCAAGAATACGTTGCACCCCCTTCCCTCTGTCTCATCTGCTTCCCTGTTCCCCCCGATGTATGTTCGGACAGGTGGAAAAGCTTGATCACATCGTTCGCGAAACCATGGGCCAGCACGAGAAGGACCTTGCGGCGGTGCTGATTCAGCTGGGGGTGAGATATGCGAACGCTGGCGTTTCCACCTGCTGCTGTTGCTCCTGCCACGCGGCAGCTAATTTTGACTATTGCCTTTCTGGTTTTCTGTTCTGAACTGTCGTCACCGCTCAATAAATATTTTCGGCTGTTCCGACCGTGGAATCTGGGTTTAAAGAACCTCGGTAATATTATTCAGCGCCAACTCGAGAGTATTTTGGGTTAGAGAGTAGTTCATAGTCATATGCACAGGCTTGGCGAAAATGTTGCAGGGAGCTCCCATGCAGAGCGCGTGGGGGTCAAGCTCGAAGTTCAGCGCGCAGCGTTGTTGCCTAACCACGCGCTTCCGCGGGCATCTTGATTGTACAACTACCGGCACTGCGCTCCCCGCCATCCTCGTCCTTGTCCCAGCTGCGTGTCTGGACATGGCCTGTGCGGCCTGACACCCCATGCTACGAATTACAAGCAGTAAATCAAACACCCCGTCGCTTCCGTCCATACTCTCCTCCTATACCCAACTTAGCTTGAACGACCTTCGCGGAGCAACCCCGTCGCTGGGAGCGAGTCTCTTCCGATACCCGCCGAGGGTCTTGCCAACAACAACGCGGGACGGGCGAATCCGGCTTGGCCCTCTCCCATGAAAAAAGCACCGCAGGACCAACTCCAATCGACGGGGGGCAGCAGGCAGGGACAAGGAGATGCTTCCGTTTTGGGTGCAGGTGGTGGTGTCGATCACGTTGCCGTTCGTGGAATAGCAGAAGACGCAAGTGTCGCCGGCGGCGGACCCACTACTGGGAAGGCCCTAGGGCGGGATGCGCAGGGTATTGGGAAAGGGGCGGCTGGAGGGGTGACTAAAGAAGGGGCGAGGGGGGCAGCGGAAGGGGTCGCCGTGTGGAACGCTTACCAGCGCGGCAAGTGGGTCAACGGTCAATGGGTTCCAACGGTGCGCTCGCGGCGTTCTGCCAGACAGACCAAGTTTTCCCCTATATATTCAGACCACATAGCATTGGATAGATTACTTGGTAGATTCAACGTTTTCTACGTGGCTCGCGAGAGGGAGTTATGTACGACGTTAGGCTTGTGCGCAAGCCATCACCCTAAGCAGCTACGCCCGGAAGCAGGTACCGAGTGCTGATTTTGCAGACCATACATGTGTTCGCACATCAGTTGAAGCTGCGCAAGTTGACCAGGAAAAGCAACTAACTACGTAGACCATTCCATGTATCGAGCATGCTTTCCTGGACTAACTGCTCATGTCGGCACCCCGAGGACGCATGTCCCCCCAAACACCACCACACCATGGTAGTACTGCAGTCTGCAAGATCCGGTTTCCCCTGAATAGCGGAAGCCTTTGCACACTCGCTGTCTTTAACGTATCCTAGTCTGCGGCTACATCTTCCTGCGACTCTCCTCTCCCTCTACAAGCACAAGCTTTCCCTCCTCACCACCCCCTCAACATTGCTTGATTCGCCGACCAATCGCGACAAACGAACCCACAAAACAGGTTCTACAGGATGACACCAGTCCCGATCTTTCCAAACTAGCAATGACGGGTAAGAAGCAGCGCCGTGTCCTCCTCTTGTCCGAGAAACGCTCGGGAGGGCAAGCCGTGGGCGGCGTTCTCAACGCCGACACCCGTGTGTTCTACGTCGCTGATCCCTGCCGCATGGGCGGAGGGCCCGAGGCCTTAGACGCGGGGGCATGTTCGCTGGCCGTGACGAGACTGCTGGCGTGCCAGCCAACCACCAACGACATTCGCAACCTCTTCTCGTTCTCGTATATTGTGGAGAGGGTAAGCGGGTGTTGGCCGTGCAATATGCAGTTTTGTTTTTTACTGAAAACTCATCTAGGAGGCTAGTAGGCGTAGATTCTTGGTCCGCATAGGCGATAAAACATACAGAACAGAGGAGGGGCCTCGGAGGGACAACACTTGGAGCGATGTCTCATAGAAACAGGAAGTTGAAGACTGGAACAATGAACACCTCCACACCGTCATGCCGTTGTCCTTGACCTCGTCACGTGCCTAGACTTGTCCACGTCTTCTTCTCACCGTCATCGAAACCTGCAATACTGACCTTTGGGACTGAGATTCTAGATTATCCCCAATCGCACGTCCACCCAGCGTTGACGCAAAAAGCCCGATCCCTTCCTCGCCTTCCTTCCTCCCACGGAATTCTTGGATTGGTGCTATTCTGTGCACAGAGCCGAGTCTTATCAGAGTCTGAGGGTTTGAGGTGGAAGGCGGGGGGTACACCGGACGAAAACGACGAGGAGACCAGGGCTGCGGTGATTCGACAATGCCGCCTCAGCAGCGTCGTCGTTGTCAAGGAGACCCGGCTTGCGGAGGTACGCTCTCCACAGAATTTCTTGTGCATTTGCGTATTTGTCGGTGTCTTATACCAGGATGTGCTTTGTTGCCACGATATCGTTTTCAGAAACCGTTGCCAAGTAGGAGCACCACTTTAACTGACCTTTACTTAATCTTGTGTTGTCTTACATGTCAATAGCTAAATGTTGGCAGTTCCTGATCCCAAACATTATTCGATGAAAGCGTCCCTCCGAAAAAGCCATGCCACGGAGTTATGGTGCAGGGCCATACATACGTTTACCCTCCGCTTCCCTCGCCTCGGAACCGAACATAATGTTGTACGGCAGGTTGCACCCAGACTATCAACGCCAGAGTTGGGTTTAGAGTTTCTGCACATCGTGCGCGACCCTCGGGCTGCCATCCATGGAATGGCAGAGCTATGGGAAAAATCCGAGAACAAGATGGAGCGGTCCATGGCACGGGATTGCTCCGACGTGGCATCCAGGTGCTCGTGTCTGGCTTGTCGGTCACCTTGTTGATGCTACAACCTTCGAGTTTGCGCTGCATAAAGCCAAGTAGCCGGAGCGGCATGGGGTCGACGGAGTATTTCGGACAAGTCGCCGAATTCACAGGACTACACGCTTAAACGAATCGCAGCATGGTGCACTCATGCCTTGTGCCTGTTGTAATCCGCTGCTGTTTTTCACAGCATTGCCGCTGTGGAAAGCATATCACCATGCACCGATCCCACCGCAACAACGTGCTGATGCAGCCTACTGGCATTGTGTAAGACGGGTGTATTGTAGGACAAGATCAGACATAACACACGCCGTTTGGTTGTCATTGGGCCAATCGTTATCTGCCTTCGGAGAGAAGTAGGAGAGGTGCAGGAGAACGCGAAAAACGAAGTGCGGAACTCCCACCAGTCGTGAGTGGTGGCTCGTTACCCCCTTGGTTCATTGGAGCTGCTGCCACCTTAAAAAAAAACTCTCACAGTAGAACTGGAAAATTAGCCAGAGTGTACACGTTCTGTTGACTCCCTGTGACAAAACACTACGTTCCATACTTAGGTCGTGTTTGATACCGTAGACACACGCCAAAGCAGGAGGTTGCTGGCTCCTCCTGACCCCCATTCCCATTTCCTACGTCGGTTTGCTTGGCACCTCACGGAACTGCTTTCTCGTCGCCATGCCTGTTCGTTGGGATCCGAGGGCCAATCAACCCCCATGGCACGTTGTGCCTCTTTCCCCATTCCTCGCGTCTCTTATTTGTTTCTAAAACGCATTCTAGACTCTGCACGTTGACCGAGAACAAGCTCAAGTTCTTGACCTTGCTTGGCAAGCAGCGTTTCCGGGTGCTCAAGCACGAGATGGTGAGAAACAGACAACCTCCGGTTTTTCGTACACTTCCTACATAGACCCTTTCCATCCACACATCTACCAGGATAGTCTCTTCCTCGTGCTTTTGCTATCGACCAGATGCGTATATGCAGACGTTGTCTTGTAGTCGACACTCTGTGTGCTTCCTTCGGAGTCGAGCAAGTTCTTGCCAAGGAATACGCCTCGCCTCTGCCCTTGCTTCCGTCCCGTCTCGCATCCCCACCTCCCGCTTTCCGCCCCCCCCCTGCTTGGCAAATCTCAGTTTGTCGAGGCGCCCTATGCCATGACAAAGAGCGTCTACAGCTGGCTGCAGCTGGGAGGATTTCCTTACGAGGTGGGGAATATTAACCTAGTACAGACACCAGGGGGTGGAAAGTGATAAAGATAGTTCGCAATGGGTAAACCAAAGATCTCTCACCATCAGCTACTCCGATCTTAGAATACGTCCTTGTGCGACAAATCGAACGCGTAGTGCTCACTCACACCACTTCGTCACGTTGCTTCGGCTGGTGGTAGTGTAATGCATCCTTGCCTCGATTTCGCCAACAGCATTCTCTGCGTACGTCCCCATGACCATACCCTCGACCTACCAGGTTTCCCCTCTTGCGCGTTTGTTTTCAGTCCCCTTGTCATCCCTCGTTACGGCCTACGCTCGTGCATGCCTTGTAGGTTACGGAAGCCATCAGATCGACGTCTATGCGAGGTTCAGCCGACAAACCTCCGGGGACAGCAGTGACGGGGAATAGCTCAAAGTCCACCATGGGAGGCTTCGATTGGTGCGTTGTCGTCATTGTACGATGCCCTGGCAATGTTCATCTTGTTGGTATTGCCAGGGGACGTTGCTTGTGATTTGTCGTTGTTGCGTCACTGAAACGTATCTCCCATCCTACCATCGCCGATTTCAACAAAGCCGCAAGTTGTTGGCATCAACCAGCTGCACGTAGATTCTTATTCTTCACCTGCCCGCCCGGGCCCCGCAGCTGAAGAGAGTAGAACGTGTACGGGTGGAGGGCGTGACCTGTACCCGAACGTATTTGACGCTGAGATGAGGATTGCACGTTGGCAAGTGTTTGGGAAGTACAAGGGATAGGCGAACCATCGCAAAATGGGAGATGCATATTGGAACAGCCACAAGAGGCCGATCTTTGAAGGGGGGGTAGAAAAGGGAAACCCCGTAATTCGAAGATTATTATCGGGGGGTAGAAAAGGGAAACCCCGTAATTCGAAGATTATTATCGTGAACACCGCATATTCCCGTGGTGTAACTTTCTGGCGCTTCTTTGGTCCTCCACCCCAATAGGGGCGCATGGTCAATGGCCAAAGAGTTATGGCTAGCAACAAGCAGACGACGGGTGCGCCCCCCCTCTTCCTTATGTTGTACTCCAATATTTACCCTCCCCTACACTGGTTGAAATGACTTCAGGGCTACCAGATGGGCCGTCGAGATGCCGACCTTTCGGCGGCAACAAGTCCAGCTCGCCTGCCAGCCTCTCCTTGTGGCGCTGGGCTACGACGACCCCGAAGATCCGGAGGAACAGCAGGGCGCAGGGGAGGACCGACAGGAAGAGTCCCAGGGAGAATCATCATCCGAAGAGCTCAGCACGGCCTTCGATGGAACCAGCAGCCACCTCGGCGCAGACGGCACCGACTTTGGAAGTTCGATGACCGATGGCGTCAAAAGGGTTGGGCACGGTGGTGGCGGCGCGGAAAAGTTGCGGGCCTCGTCGGCCTTGCCGTCTTCCTCTCTCTCTGCTACGACTGCTGCGAGGAACCCTGAAAGTGTTGCTGCTGCGGCGGATACCATCTTACCCGGTCACGATGCCATCGCGAGGCATCACGGATGAAAGCGACGGAACATTTTAGTGCGATATACTCTTGTGCCGTCCGTTTAGCGAGGATCAGGCGCCATTCATGAGTCCTGAACGACGCCTTTTGAAAGCACGGATCGCCGTTTCCGTTGATTTTGTGCTAAATGGCAAGTAAACAACACGTTAGGTATGGTACTAAACAAAGATGCAGCAGCCGACATTGCGGGCTCTTAGCAAGCGCGGATTGCGCAACCTCGTCTACGGCGGGAAGACCTATATGGGATGTTGTACGCTAGAAGCACATATCTTCAGGCTTTTGCACAAAATAAACAATCGTTCGATTCGGCTGTTCATGACGGCAAATCTGCTGGTTCCTGGCATCGTGCTCTCCAAAATCGCGTGGACACATATCCCATTCCACGTTCTGAGTGAGAAGATACCCCCCAGAATTTTGATGTGTAGTGTAGTCGCTCTTCTCCGGGATGGTTAGGATGCCTCATCTTGTACATGAAACACGAGCTTTTCACGGCCGAGTACAATATATGCGTGTAAGCTGGTGTATAATAGTCATACGGTTTCGGTCAGAGTCCAGCTTTCCCGCTGGTGGATGGGGCCACTGTTGTTGGCCACGACAGAGTCCCGGGGCAGGAGAGCTTGTTATGTGCAATACCACAGCAAGACATGAATTCCGAGTCATTCGATCGTGTTTTGCCCTCGGACAAGCGCTTAAAGGTAGTTGTTCATCATCTTCTATGAGGATAAACGTTTTCTATGCATGGCGAGTTGTGTGTTTCTGGCAGCTGTTGTACAAGTTGGCGGGAGAAGTGGAACACTTTTACTACTGACAACGATGCGCTTGTCATGCGTGATGAGCCCGGCAAGTCGATGGTGGAGAAATTGTAATATCCCAGTGTCCTCTTTCTGCAGAGCTCCCCCATGTGTTTGTTTCAACGGCTGTTTTCTCTAGACAATGACTCATCTTCTTTGGTGTTGGAGGAGCAGCCACTCTGTGGTGATGGTGGATCGTGAAGGCGTGGCGAACGACATCGCGTTTTTGTGGCGATGCAAGGCAAGTTTGATAACACCGTGGAGAGGACGGGCAAGGAGAGATTCAATAGGCCTTCCAAAGCTTGATTTAATACGTATACATACGTGTATGATAGCTGGGGAGTTGGGTACACCATTCGCGTAGTTTCACTCTCCTTGTTGTATTTATGTGGTAGGATTGATCTTGGGGGAATTATTGACTTGCTCTGTCAAGGCAGTACCAGTATGTCGTATGACCCCCATTCTAAAGATTTCCCCCTCCGCCTGCAGCACGCACACACTCTTTCATGGCTTCCTTCTGCGCTCGGTACTTTTCTGGTCGGTGCATTCAGGAACTGTGTGCATGGCATGGCGTAGGCGTTTTGCAGGCGTTCGTGCGATATACAGTATTTCAGTCTCCTACGCAGGTAGGTGCCTATCAGGAGATGACAAGATTTTCGATCCGTACGGTATACGCGCGTTCTGAAACATGACCTGACGCCTCTTCAAAATGGAGAATGATCAGCACCATGGGCGGCTGGAGTCTGGTTAGAAGCAGGAAAGCACCTAAGAGAACGACAAAGGAGGTCACGGCAGTGGCCAAGGATATCGCCCAGAGACCGAACACTCCAACACGGTTAAAAACATGTTCCAAAATGCCACCAAAGCATCATAATTTCTTCCCTGCATATTGTCGCGTGGTAGTGGGAACACTTCACATCTTAATTTCGGCCGAAATTCAAGGAGAAACTCTACGCGTGTTTGGGACCGCACAAGGATAGCATAGCATCCACCGGCAGCAGCTGCTTGGCTTCAAGAGGGGAGTTCTGCGGCCTCGCGGGCATCATGCAGACCAACGTCAAACAGTTGCACTTGCGCCTCCCCCGACACGACCGCCAACTTTATTCCTGGCGTCGACAACTTCTCAACTCCTTCTGACAACGCCAACGTACTGCCTCCACTGCCTTCGGTGGTAAGCCTCCCCCGCGTCCTTCCTCCATCTAACCCCTTTTCTTGATCCGGCACCGTCCCGGCCTGTCGTTTTTGCCGGTCCTCGTCCAATAAGCTGCCTTTCTGGCCCGATTCTTGGCCTCTGCTGGATGTCACGCGCTCTGATTCAAGGCCACTGGTGGGAACTTCCTGGCTTACACTGTCACGATCGGGCGCTGCTTCGTCTGAGCCTAGGTCCGACACAACTCCAGCTGTGCTGTCCTCTCGCATTCGCCTTCGCCATTGTTGGGACATGCTCATTTTCATCTGCATGTTGGCGTGGAGTTCGACGAGGGCCACGAGCGAGCGGTGGTCCGGCATGGGATCTCCGAAGCGGCACACCACGACGAGAGCGTCAGGGGGGCCAGGGTCACGCTTGCGGAACGAGGAGGAGCAGCCCGACGGGCTATTGTAGACATGGAACGTCACCGGCAAGGAAGAGGACGGTGAGGAGGTGTGGCTCGCGGCTGTGATAAGTTTGTTGTTGCTCGTTTTGGTGGCGCCTGTGCCTTGAAACCAAGACAGAGGTGCCGCGCTAGGAGCGGTATCGTCGTGTCCGACGGTGTCCTCCGGTTGACGCCTGACCACCAACGACCTGTTTTACAATAGGAGGAACAAGTTGTCATCGGGGTCTGTCCACGTTTTCGAAACATTACGTCCTCGTCACTATAAAAGCACCAGCACCAGCACTAACACGGTCGTATGTAGCCACCCCTACAGCCTGCATACCACCACCACGCCTCTCCATCCGCGAAGGCACAAGATCACAAACCTTCGTTTAAGCTCTGCGTAGGCGCGATAACACTCCCACGGCACACCAGCCCGCGACAATACCATTTCGTAGAGCGTGCTGACCGACACCGACAGGGCGGGGGCAGGTCGCACCACCCGCTCATCCCTACCCTGCCCCGGCCGGCTCCGTTTACAGCCCGCCCTTTGCCGCCCCTCCTTGGCGGCCGTTGGTACTTTTCGGCAGCCACCCCCTTGTCCCGTCCGCGCAGTTTCTCCGGATGCGACAGGGTCTAGCGAGTGTTGGGGTTCTCCCGTGAGTACCACCCCGCTGTCTATTGGCGACAGCTCAGCCCTCGGTGGAATTGGACAGGCGTTCTTCCCAGCGGACGAACCAACGTCATCGGTAAGCCCTTCCTGTCCGCCTCCCTCGTTTTCCTTCTCTTCGTGCTCGACATTTATCATCCTCTGCGCAATCTCCGGCGTAGAGCTGCTGATACCGGTCTCATCATGCATTTCCCTCGCGTCGTCTTTTCGCCCTATCCCCGACGACGGTGCTGCCGGCGAGGCCGGGCCGGTGAGATCGTGGCTTTTCTTCGGAGCGGGAGAAAAAGGGTGGACGGCCAGCATGCCACGCTCGACCAGCCAGAGACCTTCCTCTGCGTGTAACATTAGCCTGCTGCGCCAGGTCGTCCCCTAAGATGTCATGTTACAATGGGAAGTGTAAGGCCATTAGTTAACATGTCTTTTTTTAGGCTGTCTTTTTTTCAAAAAAGAGACGACCCAAACAATGATAACAAAAAAATATGACCCCTGTGTTACGACGTCATTTTCTGAAGGTGGGGTTTCTTGATGATTTTCACCGGCGTTCGGCGTGCGGGAGCGAACTGATTTTTGAATTTCCGCCTTCACCCACGTCACAGACCGCGCACAGCACAAAACACAACGCCCCTCTGCGCCAGCTCCTCTGCACACAGCCACATCCCGTAAAGCAGACCATGGGTGCAATGAAACTAGATGGCGTACAGTCTCTCCCGCTGGAGTTCAACTCGTACGCCGAGACAGTGATTTCGATGCTGCGGGACAGGAGCTCCGGCCTGACGGACGCCAAGTTGCTGAAGCACCTCCAGAACGTGTGCATCGTGTACGCGTGTTTGGCGGTCAAGCGCAACGCCGGGATTGTCGCCACACAGGCCAAGCACGCGGCAGCGGCGCCGGGTTACAAGGACATCGCTGTCCCTGGCTTCTATAAAGTGGCTCCAGGAAAACTTGGAAAAGGAGGATTTCTTCTTGCAGCCGTGGCTCACGTTCGAGGTCATGGGGAAGACGTCCATGAAGGGAGGTAAGACACAACCAACGCGGGAAAGAGGAAGGTTTCGAGTGCGAAGACAACCGTCTTGAGGGAGAGGGACTGGGTACGAGTGTGTACCTGACCCTCTGCGCCTTCATGATGTGCTGTTGAAAATGACATGCTCAAAGTAGGGTGTAGGGTGTATGGTCCGGCCAAAGGTTGTTTTCAGGTTGCAGTCAGGCCACGACGGGCTGCTGCAGCAGCAAGAGGAACCAACATGCTGCTGTAGGATACCTTGTCACCGCCCATCATTTGAGCGGCAACCACAGGATGCAACCCGACACCAGTGTACCAGTCTGTGCGTAGCCTTTCGAGCCTCAGTTGTATGGCATCCGAGGCCCCGCCATTTCCTGGAGCATTACCGTAAATGACACAAGATACGATCCCCGCGGAGATGATCGCCGTCATCCGCAAGTTCCACGTCGGAATGCGGGCCTGCGTCCGCATGGACGATGGGGAACNCATGGCAACCGAAGCCCGCCCATTTCCTGGAGCATTACCGTAAATGACACAAGATACCACAACCCCTTGACCGAATTTCAAAGCTCGATTACTCCACGACAAAGAGGATGCACGAACGGAACGGTGCATTTTCGGAAAGCTCTCGATGAGACGGCTTCAACGCCGCCATTGTTGTCACTGTGACTCCTTTNGCGGCGACACCACCCGGCGCAGGAGCTGCACTCTGTGCGTCCGCTTCTACTCCGCCTGCTGCGGCAACACTCGCATCTACGGCCGGGGTAGGAGGCAGCCCAGCCCCCATGTCGTCCTCGCCCGCGGCGGCTACACCCGTGTCCGCGGCGGGGGTAGCTTCCAGCCCTACGCCCGTGTCGTCATCGCCCGCTACGGCAACGCCTACTTCCTCTGCTGCGGTAGTTGCCCCCGTCGTCTTGGGCGCAACATGGTCTGCAACACGGTCCGCCCTCCCGGGATTCACCGG